AATTACAACTGAATTCAAAATAATCTATATTTAATTAATTGATAAAAATAGTTTTTTACTTGAAAACCCATATTTGAGTAAGCTCTCCTTACTGTATTTTTTGTGAATTTAAACTCAATATAATATTAAAAATAAAATTTTTGGCACGTAAACAAAAAATATGTTGTTCATTGTTTATTTAGACTTCAATCAACAGTTTCAATTAAAAAACAACTTTAACAATGAAACATGAATGAAATATGTTACTTAAAAAATTATATAATAATCTTTTTTATTTTTTTGTTAAAAATATACAAAAAAATCAAATTGTATTTCAATGATATTAATGTATTAATAAAAATTTAACAGGAAGGATGTATCAGAATGTATCATTTCGTTTTGGTTATAATATGTATAAAATTATAAACATTCATGTATTTACGTTAAACAAATTATAACAAAACTCCGAAAAAAATAATAATTGCAATTTTTTTTATTTTTTAAAGTACAACATCTAACTAAAACTATCAAATTTGTATATATTATTAAATATTATTTATTGTTACATTTATTTCAGTTTTTGGAAACATACATAGACAGTGATACAAGTATTATATAATACCCATTTTTGGACTCCCAAAAGTTAAAACACGTTCGAAATTGAATTAAAAATATATATATTAAAACACCTGAAATTTTCAAACCGAAAAAAACTCGAATGAATCTCGCATATAATTAAAACGAAACATTATTTAAACTATAATATATAGTAAAATCGATTATAATTGTATTAAATAATTCTATTGTCTCATTCTGTTCTATATATTATATAGAACACACAACTACAAAATTCAATACTTTCAAAGATGAGTACAAATACCACTGAGAATAAAGAAAAGGTCGAATTAGATTCCACAACGATCCAAAAGGCGTTAATCATCTTTTATTCACGTAACGGGCACTCCGAGAAAATAGCCAACGACCTCCACGCCGCCATCCCATCGGACGTTGTGCAGATACAAGAAAATGATGGAATGAACAGAGGTAGTTATACAAATTACTTCACAAGCTTCTCCGAGTCTTATTTGGGATATGACTACTCGTCTTACCTCAAGACAGAGAACTTGGCTGATGTTGCCAAATACTCTGCACTCATATTTGTTGGGCCCGTGTGGTGTTGGGACCTTTGTGCTCCATTGAAAAACGCTTGTAAAGAGGTTCTGAAAACCGTAAAACAAACACAAGACATTTTTGTCGCTTTAAGTCTTGGAGGCGCCGGAGATAAAGGGAGCTTTGAAGTGATTAAAAAGATGTTTAGTGGAAAGGCAATTGTACACGACGATTATTTAAGTTGTGTCGAAAGCGCGTATGCGTCGGGCCAACTCAAAGATAAATTTGACTCATTTGTTCAAAAGGTGTTAAAAGCAGTTGAAAAGTGGTGAATTTGCCAAACAACTTTTAATTTGAATATTTAGTTTAATTTATAATAATTAATAGTATATTTATATAAATAATAATATAATAACAGATACTGTAGATAAGTAACTATATATGCAAGTAACTCATTATATAGTATAACAAATTAGATTTAAATAATAATTAATATAGATTTAATTTAATAAAAATGAATTAAACTAATTAATCACTTTGTTATTTTTAAAAAAATTGTGTAATAAAGTTAGTCTGGAAACCATATTTATTTATTTCCTTTTAAAAAAAAGCAGATTTGGGATGTTTAATAAATATTACTATTATTTAAACTATTTTTCAATAACACAACCAAAAACATAAATTAAATTAAAGTGATTTAGCCAATCATTTCATTTTTTTGTTTGTCAATAAATGGTATTATTAATGTTGTTATTTATTAAAAATAACGGGAAATC